TCTTCAGATGGGTGGTATGATGAGCAGCACTTGATCGTCTCTCTCTGTAACTGAAATGTCTAAGCATATTCGTATAAGAGCATCTGGAGGAGGGAATACAGTGTCTGAGCTTGGACAATTTTCCCCCATATTTGTTTGGCTATTAAGGGTGATTTTTATCATTTTTTTTTTCAGAAAAAAATATGTTCTTCCATTTTGATGTTTCCATGACAGCCAATTTTTATATGAGTTAGTTTCATATTTGACTCTTTTGAGTTATTCACTTTCAGGATTTCTACTTAGACTTGGTGGAGGATAATGCAAAACTGACACCCCATGATTATCTAGAATTGGCATTGAGGCCAGTTCCAGGTGGTGGAAAAGACATAGTAGCCAAAAATAAGGTACTAATTGCCCTTTGAACTTGTTGATGGATGCAGTCGGTTATTGTCTTAAGTTGCTATATTTAATTAGAAGGGCTGTCTAGTTGTCTCTCTGAGTCTTGTTTTTACACCAAAGCAAATCTCTGACTTCTTCAAAGTATTAAACAGATACGTGAATCTATTCAAGCTCTTTTTCCTGATCGAGAGTGTTTCACCCTTGTCCGCCCTCTAAACAGCGAAACTGAGCTGCAACATTTGGATCAAATTCCGGTAATTGTTTGAGAATTCAGCTAACTACAGGTTATATGACCTCTTCTATCATATCTCTTCTTTTATTAATGAAGCTACCTGTATATTTTATGACTAGTTGGAAAAATTGAGGCCAGAATTTCGGTCTGGGCTTGACGCCTTTACAAAATTTGTTTTTGAGAGAAGCAAACCCAAACAAGTAGATAGTACAATTATGACAGGACCGATCCTTGCTGGTATCACAAAATTGTTTCTGGATGCTCTTAATAGTGATGCTGTGCCTACAATATCATCCTCCTGGCAGGTGGGTGACTGTCCTAGATTTGCAGGTCTCTTCTCATTCTGCTGTATCTTTCTTTTTCTTTGGCGTCTTATATAAATAGCCTAGACCCATGCTCTTCCAGTCGCCCTTTGCCAAGTAAATTGCATGCACTCATCATTGTAGTTATTTTTGAAGAGTGGCTGATCACATAGTCTCTAACTTAGTCATTATGAATAAATTCCCTGTTTGATGTATTTTTAGCTGTACATGTTGATTTAGTTATTTCCTCTTCTGCTTATTTGTTTCTCGTAGTCCCCAATGCTGTAGCTTGAAGAATAGTGAATCTATTGTTTAACGGGTTTTTATTAGTCATTGATTGAATCTTGAAGTAATCTTAGGAGTAGAGGACAAGGTTTTGATTGTTCTTAGCTAAGTAGAGATCTGGTAAACTGGGTTAGAACCCAGGATTTGGACTTCATCCGGTCAAATTGGGAAAATATGACCTCTGAGGCAAGCCTCAGATTGAGTATAGCATTTGTTAATGTTAATAGATGGTTCATAACTTAAAATTAGAAGCTAATCATTATTGGTTTACTGACTTTCTTCTTTAGTGATTCAAACAACCTTACTTTTTTATGCTATTATTGTTTTCTCATTCAATTAATACTATGTTTAAGTTGAGTAAGATGTGGGGAAAAGAAAGGAACATAGAGGAAAGAAATCATCCTTTCTTTGTTTGGTTAAAAAATAAGAATTGATAAGGTAAAGAAATATAGTTAACATTTCACCCTTGTCCTTAAAGTAATTGGTTTTTAAAGTTCGCAACAACTTCCCATATTGCGAGAGAAAGGGAGGAAAGGAAAGAATTTAAATAGTTTTCGTTTATAAATCATCAATTTTATCCTCACATATCTACTTGCTTTTTTTTCAAACAAAAATGTTATATCCCAATAATCAGCAAAGGAAAAAGAAGAAAGCAGAAGAATGAAAGAAGTGGCAATGCAGGTACGAGCCCCATACAGGAGAAAGGAAATCTGGGCTGATCTCCTTTTGTGTTTTTTGTTTAAGTTCAATTAGGAAAAAGAGGATATTTAGCATAGGAGTTTTTTGTTTCAGTTCGGTTGGGTGCATATATAATCTCATTTCTACAGTTTTAGTCAGGAGAATGTCCAAGGTGTTGGAAAAAGTAATCAGGGAATGTCAACATGCTTTCGTGGAGGATAGACAAATATTGGATGTTGTTCTGGTGACAAATGAAGTAGCGGACGATTTCTTATACAAAAAGCGGGAGTGGGTTCTTTTGCAAGCTACATATGGAGAATGTTTATGATATGTAAATTGAGACTTTGTGGATTTTATGCTGAAAAGAATGAGGTTTGGAACAAGTGGAGGAAATGGATTAAGTTCTACATTACCATCACATCATTTGCAGTTATGGTGAACGAGGGTCCACTATCTTTCTTCTAAGCATCAAGATGGCTGAGACAAGGTGATCCACTCTCACCTCTACTGTTCGTTGTGATGAAAGCTCCAAATAGGTTGTTGTAAAAGCAAGGGAGTTGGAGCTATTTAGAGGAGTGAAAGTTGGGGGAAACGACCATGTGGAGAGATAACTCACCAATTCTTCTCTGATGACAATTCAGTTTCTGTGAAGTGGATGAGAAGGCAATGCTCAACCTCATATGTGTTATGATGTGCTTCCAAGCAGTGTCGGGGCTTAATATCAACTTGATCAAGTCAGAGATTGTCATACTGGGTGACAGAAGAGATGAAACAAGATTGGCAAGTGAGTTGGATTGCAAAATGGTATAATTACCTATTAAATTTGTGGGGCTGCCATTAGGATTAAATTATAAAGATGAGATGACCTGTGATTCAATAATTAAAAAGTTTGAATGAAGATTAGTGGGATGAAAGAGGAGTTTTTATTTAAGGGTGGAAGGCTGACTCTTATTAGGAGCACATTGGTTAACCTACCTATATACTACATATTTCTTATGACAATCCCAATTAAAGTGGCTAAGAAATTAGAGTCCATTCAATGTGGGTTCCTCTGGGGAGATTTGGAGGATAGGAAGTACATTTGGTGAAGTGGGGAGAGATAAAAAGCCAATGCCACAGAGGTCTGGGGTTGAGATCCTTTGTAGAGGTGAATTTTGCTCTATAAGGGAAATGATTATGGAGATTCATGAAGGAGAACAGCATGCTGTGGTGAAGAGTGATTGAGGTTAAATTTGGGACTATGGATAGTGGATGGTTTACAAGAGTGACGAATAAACTACATGGTGTGGGGTTGTGGAGGAGAATCAGCATGGGTAGTCAAAGATTTCAGGAATGCATTAGTTGGGGAAGAAAGAGGGAACAACATTATGTTCTGCTCGGATGCTTGGGTGGGAGAGGGAACTCTTAAAGATCAATTCCCGCAAATTTATATGATAGCGTGGTGTAAGAATATCACTGTTGAGGAGGCAAGCAGAGTTGTTTGAGGCATTAGGGAGTGGGATGTGAATGTGACAAGAAATCTTAATAACTAAGAAGTCAATGAATATGAGGCACCCCTTAATTTACCTTCGCTCATCAACCTTAACGAATACAATAATCAACTTATATGGGAACTTAAGGATAAAGGAGATTTCACAGGAAATCCTACTACAATCACTTGGCAAGAAATGGAGCTACAGAACAAACGTTTCCATTTAAGCAGATGTTAAGGATGAATGCTCTTCCAAGAATTTTTTTTTTTTTTTTTTTTTTTGCATGGGAGACGAAATGAGAGTGCATATTGACCATTGACAAACTTATGAGAAGAGTAAGAATTTTGGTGAATGGATGCTATCTATGTTAGAGAGAAATGGAATCTTGTAATCATATTCCATTTGGTGTCCTGTTGTGTATAAGTTAATAGAATATGGTTTACGGGTAATTGGGGATTAGCTTAGTCATTGCTGGTTTGGTTAGAGATGGGATTTGAGTTTGAGAGGAATTTGATAAGGGGAGGAAAATTGTGGATCTCATTCCTTCTATTATTTTTTAGGTGGTTTGGAAAGAGAGAAACAATAGAGCTTTTGAGGGGGTGGACGAAGTTTTTGGTAGAATTAAGGACAGATGACTCAAGTATTTGGGATCATTGGTTATAGGACCCTATTCATTCGTTAGAGGATTTTAGGAATTTTATGAACATACTAACTTTTTAAATAATTTTATACATGGGTGGTTCGTCATTGGTGCTTGTTAAGTAATGATCATAATATACTTTTTAGTTGAAAAAAGGAGTTTGGGAATAGGTAGATACGGACTGTTTTATATTAAGCAGCAAACTGAATCAACTAAGGATTCTTCAAATTAGGAATTGGGTATTCATAGTATGTGGTATCAGTAGGAGTAAATGAAATTTTTTTTCACTATCTTCTTCAAAATGATGGGATGAAAAAAAAATTCCCATCTTCTTTATTAGATTACCCTAAATATGTAAATATTCATGAATAAGATCAGTCAAAGAATAATTAAATAAAAAACAGATTGTAGTGTATCTTAATTTTAGAGATTGTTAGGTTCTCTTATACGAGCCCTGAACCATAAGTTCCACATATCTCAACCCGTAACCTAATCCTGAATACAGGATCTTGTTAGATTACTATCAGAGTGCTGGGAGGCTATGGGCGGTTTCAAGGTATTTCAGCAGCAATTTTGAAGGGGTTCCTGCACGTGTACCTGGAGCATAGGAATAATTGTGCAGAAAGGAGAAAAATTCTTTCTATCATTCAAGGAAAAGCAAAGGAGCTGAGTGAATGGGTTTACCTACCGTACAGGGAGCTTTCAGGTTCCAAACCCGACATCAGGCTGTGCCTGGAGGGAGCATACCTCAACAATCTCATAACATCCTATCAAGATTTTTCCAATGACAATGGAAGTGATGAGCAGCAGCACCAGTCAGAATTAGATTCAGCCCCATGCTGGGCAACCAAGTGTCCATCTTTAGTTGGTGGAACTTCAACAAGCTGGAATTGCTTTGCCCTCAGATGCAGTTAGAGGTTCTGTTTTTATCAATGAAATAGTACCATGACACACAATCACCATTTCGAATGGGGAGTAATGTTATGCCCCAATAATCAGCAAAGCAAATGAAGAAAGCAGAAGGAAAAGAAGTGGAAGTTCAGGTGCGGGCCTCATGCAGAAGAGAGGAAATCTGCTAAAGTGTTAGTTTGAGTTAAATTAGGAAAAGAAGGGTATTAATCG